ATGCATTACACTGTAGCATAATTCAAAGATGTTGTATTGTAAATTTTGCCTTTTCTTCATCTTCTATCTTTACTTACATATAGCACTTTAACTCTTAATTTGGATCATCCTACACACGACATAACATGATTAATGCAATTTTAGCTGAAGTAATACATTTATTTTCTTGAATACAATACTTTAAAAGGTGCGATTTGCTTTACTTCTAAAATCAAATAGTGAGTTTCCAAGACTCTTTACCACAATTTCCTTGAATACAAATGTGATGGTGGCTTCCTTTTTATAGGCATAAAGTGAAATTTTTTTTCATGCTTTATGCTCTACTTTTTTAAGATGACTAGCTGCAATTTTTTTCATGACTTCCTCCATTCTTGCTTTCCCAAAATGGTGTATTACTTGACTAAGCATTTCCTCAACCACATCTTTTCTAAAATTTTTAACTGGACATTAGGCCAAAATAATTCTTTTTAGCTCAAATAGTTATGCTTGGGCCTAAAATTATATTTTAGCCTAAATAATGCCTCCCGCATGCAAAGTTGGCTGAGTTTATCATAGGCCAAGTTTGTATGGGTATTTAAAGTATTCCATCTTCCATACATTCCTAACATATGTGACGTAGAACTTAGAGATTTAGTCCTTTTTAATCAATGATTTAAGTGGTGGATGTTGTTCATGAGGAGCTAGCTCATTCTCAATAAAGGGCTTTGGTTATGGATCTTGCTCTCCATTTGATCTGAAAGGCATGGAGTTTGCCTTTAGTTCATCAACCTAAGATAGTTGGGTGCTCTCAGGTTGTTACCCCCAAGCTCTTCATCTGTAATTGATACTAAAGGCCATGAGTTAGCCTCTAGATTCTCATCCTCGTAAAAGGTCATCCTCAAAGATATAAGAGGAGTGCCCCTCAAGCTCTTTAGATAAGGCTGGTTCTAAAGGCCTAGAATTGGCCTCTAAATTATCATGCTCGCATAGCTTATCCTTAGAGTTATAAGACAAGTGACCTTTAAGGTCTTTGCATTTACTTTTAAGGAATTCATGGTAACTCATGAGAGATTATTCTCTTTGTTCAGCTCTCCATTTTAACTTGTTAATCTTAGCTCTATATTTCATCTTTTGCTCATAACATTTACAGTTCTCATCTATAGTTGTGATGACTCACCCTAAAGCATATTGAATTTGATGCTCTATGTTATGTTATAAAGTTCCTAATATATTTTCAAGGTTATAATATGTAATTGGAAAGTTAGCTTGCACATTAGAGCTTTGCTCACCATACTTGTTCTTGGATTGTAATGGAGTTGGGTGGTGTACTATACTTGTAATATCACATTCTAAATCCTACAATCTAGTATAATTTATCATTATATTTCAATTCAAGGGTAAGGTTTCTTGCCAGTTTCACAAGGATGTGGTTCTATTCTGGTTGGATACATAACTCTTTTAGACTATGGATTCCATAGGTGGTGATATATGAGTGGACCTCTAGGTACTCTAGTTCCCAAATCGATGGCTCTTAAGAGGCCTAATACTCTAATACCATGGGTGCATCAATCTATGACTTTATTAGAGTATGGATCTATAGCTCTCTATAAGTGATGATCCATGAGTGGATCTTTAAGTACCTTGGTTCCTAAATCTCTAGCTTTTAAGGGAGCCTAATACTCTAATTCTAGGGTTGCATTGATCAATGACTTCATTGGAACACCATTCCTTGGATCTCTATAGGTGGTAATCCATGAGTAGATCTCTAGGTGCTTTGGCTCCTAGATCACTAGTTTTTAGGGAGCTTAGTAATTAGGACAATCTTCTAAGTCATCAAGTTTAGAGAAGTCATCCTTATACTTAAAGTATCCGACTTATGGTGGTGACATTGGTATGCATGTAGAGGTTCTACTGGGCAAGCCAAAATTGTTTACTAAGAATGATTTGTCAAGATGCCTGGGAACAAAAGGATCCTAGTATCTTATTTAATAATGGGTCTTATCAACTTAGGGACTATAGGATTAATATGGCCATTGGTATGAGTTATGTATTTTGATCCTACAAAACATTGGAAGCCTTAATGTTCCTTACATGCTACTTCTATGACAAAATGCATCTGCATTGTGTCAATCTCAAATTTCGACTGCTCAATCAACACATTTAAGTTATAAGTTAGAAAATTGACATGATAATATAACAAACTAATAAATATTATATATATTTATATATTACCTCAACTTGTTCCCATGTGAAATCCATGGAGGTTGAATCTATATGATGCTAATTATTAATTGATAAGTCTAAATGCCCTTTGGTCATAGCCTCATGTAGCTGGAAAATTTATGCTTATTGGTCCTAATTGATTGACCCTTTGAATTCCAATAAAGACAATATTTCTGTCCAATTAAATGGCTTCTATTAACCTCACCCATCAATACCAAGTGTTTCCTAATTGAAGTAGTCACATTTTCTTGAGCATTTTTTAGCTATAGGCTGACTGGTGGATGTAAAGGGATGATCACCCGTTAATGGGTTAGGAAGTGGGTCAATCATCAAGTTAGGGTGTGAAGGAAGGATTATCCAATAGGTTATTAGTCAAAGTAGGGTCACCATTTGTCCTAGATGGAATTTCAGGAGCCATTAACCTGTAATGAAATAGTTTAGAAGATAAAACATAAATAGTAATGAAGAATATTCAAACACAAAAAGCACTAATTAAACAAAAATAGTAATTAAGAAAATTAAAATACACAAGGCATAAATAAAACACAAATAGTAATTAAGAATATTGATTACCATAAGATTAAGTCAATCTTTTCCTTTTCCTTGACTTCTTTTAAACTTTTTCTACCTTAATAGCCTGATTTAATTTTTTAATCTTCTCTTTCATTTATTTTCCCTCTTTTGAAATCCAAGTACCTGCATTGTGATCATATCTTTTATAATTAGTACCATTTTCAGTGAGATTGCTTTTAAGCATAGTCCCTTCAAATGGATCATCCTCAACAATATCAATCACCTCTCCAGTTGTTTTGTTTGACAATAAAATAATAGACTAATTTTGTTTTACAATATCAAGAACATAGAACACTTGTTTAGCCTATTAACCTTTAAAAGTTCATGTTATTTCATCGCATTTCTTTTAGATTCTAATCCATTTTAGTTAAATTGTATATGTTTTTATTGCCCAAATTAGAAAAATGTGTATTTTGTTTTGGGCTTGTGTTCTTGGCTTTAATTTGATATTTTTAGCCAAATTTCATGTTATTTTGATTGAAGTTTTGATTAGAAGCATTTCTGGAGCTTTCTGAATATTTTTGGAAGGCTTTTGGATGAAGAAATCAAGAGCAAAATGAATGATTTTCGTTAGTTGTAAAAACAGTGCAAAACTGCCAAAGTTGTCCCAATGTAATACTTTCGTTCGTGACTTTCGTCACTGTTAGAAAAACACTGCGTTTTATTTATCAGAAATTAGTTGGCTAGGATACATATAAGTTGAAAGCTCAACCCAGAATGCATTCTTCAGACTTTTAGACACTTTTGGAGCTTGGTTGTGCTAGGGTTTGGGCATTGGAAGAGTTGAGATCAAGAGATTGAAGCTTTGAAGATATTTGGAGCTCATTTTCTTCGATTTTTCTATTCCTCTTCTGTTTTCCTCTCTTGTATCTAAAATGGGTCCACTTGTTTTGTATATTTGTAGCTTCTGGATGATTATGAGTAGCTAAACCCTTTGTTCTAGGATTATTTGGAATCCTTGTATGGATTAACACTATATTTCTCTTCTCTTTTTGTGATTAATGATATATATGTGTTAATTTTACTCTTTGCTTAAGGCTTCTACTTGATTGGCCACCATTTAGATGTTGGATTCACTTAATTGATGCTTGAAAGGGCTAGGTTGAGTGTAGAACTTAGGTAAAATTGTGTAGGAACTTGATATTTACATGTTGAATGGATGGTTTTACTAGTAAGATAGAGATACACTTGCTAGTCTTGCATAGCCACATTAGGATTGGTATTCAAAATTGAGTTTTATGAATTGTAACACGAGTTTGGGCAATTAATTTAACTAAACATTTGTTCATGACTTGAGAGAGCTTGTCCAAACATATTTAGAGCCCTAGGTTAGCACTTATTTTCATTGAAAGCATTTATGAGAGGAGGAAATTTTGGTGTTATGAAATACAAGGGGGAAAAATAATCCTAGGTCCTAAATTGTGTTGGAAGTTTGTAATCACTCACTTTTCTTTATTTTTTAGAGTTAATTTCATTTACAAAATCATTTTCACCTAACTTTGTGTAGCTCAACTTGATCGAATTTGCTTAGTCTTTTGCTTGATCATTGTTTTTGAATAAATCCTCAAGGGAACAATGCTTTACTTTTCTTATATTACTTACTACGACTCGTGCACTTGCGATGAGCAACAAGTTTTTAGCACTGTTGCCAAGGATTTGCTTTTGAAAATATTTTGATCAACCTTAGACTAGTGATATTAAATTTTGCTTGAGCTTTGTAGATATTAGTTCTAGATTTTTTATTTTGTCTTTATTTAGTACTTTTGTTTTAGTTTGATACTTCGTGGGTTGTTTCTTCTTCAGGTACCCATTTGGCATATGTAAACCATAGGCCCAGAAGGATTGGAAGTGATACTTGAAGGATTGACAATCTTTAAAGAAGCCGAGTCTCCTAATTCTGAAAGAACTCCTGAAACTGAATCAAGAAACATGGCAGAAGACTAGTATAACACTACCTCAGTTAATGACTTTGCTAATCAGAATCTGAGGGGTACTCAATCTTGTATTCAAATGCTAGTGTTTCAAGCACATACTTTTGAGATCAAGCCTGCCATGATCACAATGCTTCAAATGAATGGTGTGTTTCATGGTCTATTCAATGAAGATGCTAACAAGCACTTGATGTCTTTTATGAAAGTATGTGACTCTTTTAGACAAAACAGGGTGCCTAAAGATGTCTTGCACTTACGGTTATTTCCAATTTCTCTATAAGACAAGGCTAAAGAATGGTTCAACATCTTCCCAAAGGTTCTATTAGTTCATGGGAGGATCTTGAGAACAAGTTTAGAGCTCGATTCTTCTTTGATGATAAAACGGTGGAAGTAAGAGATGAATTTCTTAGCTTTAAGCAATATCCAGATGAGCATCTCTATGCAACTTGGGAGAGATATAAGATGTTGATGAAGAAATGCCCTAATCATGGGGTGGATAAATGGGTAGTGATTCAGATCTTTTGTAATCATCTGAATCTATCTTCGAAAGCCATGGTTGATTCTATCACAAATAAGAGATATCAAAATGTGCCTGTTAATGAAGTTTTTTGCCTCTTAGATCAATTATCTGTGAACAACACTCAAAACATGGATAGAAGGAATACATTAATAATGACTAGTGCTAAAGATAATTCCTCTTCCCAGATTGTATCCATCTTGAATGCAATGAACAAGTGTTTTGATATGTTGGAATTTCAAATGCAAAGGGGAAATTCTTATAATGTGCATGCTGTCCAAGCCATTCCAACTATATGCAATCAATGCAATGATGTTCATTTGCCCAATCAATATCCTCTTTATATGACCCCTGAGTCTGTCAACTATATGGGCAAGTTTTAAAACCCTCACAATAACCCTTACTCTCAAACATACAACTCAGGATGGAGGAATCATCCTAATTTTTCATGGATTTAAGGAAATTCTTCAAATCAACCTTCATCTTCCAATATTAAGCCAATTCACCCTCCGAGTTTTCAAGCTCCACCAAAGCCAATGCCAGTTAAGGAAGAGGAGTCTAGAATGGAAAAGATGTTAGCACAAATCTTGAGTAATCAAGAGTCTACAAGAGTTGAAACTAAGGCAACTCTTACTCTTCATGATACCACAATTAAGAATCTTGAAGTGCAAATGGGACAATTGGCTTCACAAATAAATGCTATGTCAAGAAGCAATCTCCCTAGTGACACCATTCCAAGTCCTAAAAGGGATGGTAAAGAGGAGTGTAAAGCAATCACTTTGAGAAGTGGGATGCAATTACCCAAAGTTCTTATATCAAGTGCAAGTGGTATGAGTAGTAGTGCTACTAAGGTGGTTGTTGATAATGAAGTGATTAATAAAGAAATTGTGGTTAAAAAGTGTGACAACTCGAAGAATAATCAAGAAAAGAAAAAGAATGAAGATCAAGCCAAAAAGGTTGGTGATGAGAAAAAGCAATAAGAGGTCAAGCAATGAGTTCAAGACGGTTGCTCTAACCAAGAGTTGTACGGATATCATTAAGCAACTACCTCAAAAGTTAAAGGATCTTGGTAGCTTCTCAATTCTGTGTCATATTAGAAATAAATTTTTGGGTAAGGCATTATGTGATCTTGGAGCTAGTATCAATCTTATTCCTCTCTCTATTTTCAATAAATTGAAGTTGAGTGAAGCTAGACCAACAACTATGACTTTGCAATTAGCGAATAAAAGCTTCGCTTATCCACGTGGTGTTATTGAAGATGTTCTTGTAAAAGTGGATAAATTCATTTTTTCGGTTGATTTCATTGTCCTTGATTGTGAGGTGGATTGTGATATTCCTATTATCCTAGGAAGACTATTCTTGGCAACTACTAGATCCTTGATTGATGTTGAAAAAGGTAAGCTTACTATGAGGGTGGATGATGAGCAAGTCACTTTTAACATGCACAAGTTGATAAAATCTCCCAATGATCTTAAGCAATGCTTCTTTGTTGATATGCTTGATCAAGTTGCACAAGAAGAATTCAATAAGGCAATTCCTAATGATTTTTTAGAAGCCTTGTTGCTAGGAGCTCAATTAAAGACTCAAGATGGAGAAGAGTGTGTGGCTATCATGAATGCATCATTGGTTTATCCTAAAAACTGTGTCCAATTTGAATCTCTAAATTTATCTTCTCTTGGTAGACCATCTTTGAAATCCTCTATTGAAGAGCCACCATCTCTTGAGTTAAAGACATTATCTTCTCATCTTCGGCATGTCTATTTGGAAGTCAACAACACTTTGCCAATGATTATTGCTGCAGATTTGAATGAACAATAAGAAGAACAACTTGTGAAAGTCTTGAAAGCTCACAAGAGAGCTATTGGGTGGACTATTGCCGACATAAAGAGTATTAGCCCTTCAATTTACGTGCATAAGATTTCCTTGAAAACAATCATAAAACTTTCGTGGAATATCAAAGAAGGTTGAACCTTATTATAAAGGAAGTTGTGAAAAAGGAGATCTTAAAATGGCTTGAGGTGGGCATTGTCTATCCTATCTCTGATAGCTCTTGGATGAGCCCAGTTCAATGTGTTCCAAAAAAAGGAGGCATGACTGTAGTGGCTAACACCCATAATGAACTAATTCCTACCCGCACTATTATTGGATGGAAAGTATGTATGGATTACCGGAAGCTAAATGTGGCTACTAGGAAAGATCACTTTCCTCTTCCCTTTATCAATCAAATGCTTGACAAATTAGCTGGAAAGGAATTCTTTTGCTTTCTTGATAGGTATTTAGGCTATAACCAAATTTCCATAGCTCCAAAGGATCAAGAAAAAATGACATTTACTTGTCCTTATGGAACTTTTGCTTTCAAGTGCATGCCTTTTGGGTTATGCAATGCACCGACCACTTTTCAGAGGTATATGATGGCAATTTTCTTTGATATGATTGAGCAAACTATGGAAGTCTTCATGGATGACTTCACGGTTTTTGGGGATTCATATGAGAAGTGCTTGATCAACTTAGCCAATGTGTTGAAAAGATGTGAAGAGACCAACGTTGTCTTGAATTGAGAAAAATGCCACTTCATGGTTAAGGAGGGCATAATTCTTGGCCATAGAGTCTCAAAAAGTGGCTTGGAGGTAGATAGAGCTAAAATTTTGGTGATTAAGCAACTCCCTCCACCTACTAATGTTAAAGGTGTGAGAAGTTTTCTTAACCATGCAGGATTTTATCATCGCTTCGTTAAAGACTTCTCTAAAATAGTCAAGCCTCTTTGCACTCTTCTTGAGAAAGATGTTGAATTTAAATTTGATGATTCATGCTTGAAAGCATTTGAAGAGTTGAAGAAAAGACTTGTGTCTACACCTATCATGATGGCTCCTGATTGGAGTTTGCCTTTTATTGTGATGTGTGATGCTAGTGACTTTACTGTGGGTGCTATGCTCGGCCAAAAGAAAGAAAAGGTGCTTCACCTAATTTACTATGCTAGCAGAACATTTGATGATTCTCAAGAAAACTATACCATGACTGAGAAAGAGCTTCTTACAGTAGTGTTTGCTTTTACTAAGTTTAGATCATATCTTATGGGTATTAAAGTGACAGTTTACACCGACCATTCAGCTTTAAGATACCTATTTAGCAAGAAAGAGTCTAAAGCAAGGTTAATTCGATGGGTACTACTTCTACAAGAATTTGACTTGGAGATTATTAATAGGAAGGGTACTGAGAATCAAGTAGTGGACTATCTTTCTAGGTTGAATATTGATGCTCAACTTAAATCTAATGTTGTTATTGATGAAGCTTTTCTAGATGAGCAACTTTTTAAGGTTAACAATATTCAAACACCGTGGTATGTAGACATTGTCAACTATCTTGTTTGTGGCATCTTGCCCTTTGATTTGAAGTTTCATTAAAAGAAAAAGTTTCTCCATGATGCTAAGTTGTATTTTTGGGAAGAACCCTATCTGGTTCGCAAAGGTGCCAACCAAATGATTAGAAAGTGTGTTCCTGAGTGTGAGCAACAAGAAATTCTAAGATGTTGCCATTCTTCTGACAATGGAGGCCACTTTAAGGGTGACAAGACAGCATCTAAAATCTTACAAAGTGGTTTCTATTAGCTCTCTTTATTCAAGGATGCATATTACTTTGTTTTAAAGTGTGATTGGTGCCAAAGGATGGGCAACATCTCTAGAAGGAACGAAATGCCACTCAACAACATGCTTGAAGTAAAATTATTTGACGTGTGGGGCATAGACTTCATGGGACCATTTCCCATGTCTTTCAACAATCAATATATCCTTGTCGCTGTAGACTATATCTCAAAATAGGTCGAAGTGGCGGCATTTCCCACTAATGATGCTAAAGTAGTACTCAAGTTCTTGAAGAAGCATATTTTCACCCGCTTTAGAGCACCAAGAGCCATTGTGAGTGATGGTAGTACTCATTTTTGCAACAATTAATTTCAATCTCTCTTGAAGAAATATGGTGTCAAGCACAAGGTTGCACTTGCCTACCATCCTCAAACTAATGAGCAAGCTGAGATTTTTAATCGAGAAATTAAGAAAATACTTGAAAAGATGGTAAGAGTGGCAAGAAAAGATTGGTCCACCAAACTTGACGATGCATTGTGGGCTTATCGAATGGCTTACAAAACTCCTATCAGCATGTCTCCATATTGGTTAGTTTTTAAGAAAGCATGTCATCTACCTGTAGAGCTAGAACATGGTACTTATTAGGCTATCCAAAAGCTTAACTTTGATTTTAAGGCTGTAAGTGAAAAGAGGCTTCTCTAACTAAATGAACTTGATGAATTTCGGTTTAATACCTATGAGAATGCTAGGCAATACAAGGAGAAGACAAAAAGATGGCATGACAAGAAAATTTTATGCAAAGCATTTGAGCCAGGCCAAAGTACTTTTATACAACTCTAGATTGAGGTTATTTCCTGGCAAACTCAAGTCTAGATGGTCGGGACCATTCAATGTGGTCCAAGCATTCCCTCATGGTGCTGTTAAGCTAAAGAACAGTGAAGGAGAAAGATTTAAAGTCAATGGGCAATGAGTGAAGCATTACTGAGGTGGTGAGGTAGATTGTGGAACAATCACCTTGCCCTTATCTAATGACTCTTGAAGAAGAGAAGAGTCGGGCTAAATAACTATAAAACAAGCGCTACTTGGGAGGCAACCCAAGTTTTAAACCTTATCTTTTGATTTTTTATTTTGTAGTTTAGTTGTTTTGGTGAAGTTATGTGTGATCTTATCTCTTTGTAGGTTAACAAGAAGATATGAGGAAGTATAAGCTTTTGAAGAAGCAAGAAATGTGGCCAAAGAACAAAATAGCACAAAAAGAAGGAAAATTTCAGGGAAGTCAAGCTATTTAAGTTGTGTTTATGCTTATAAGCTTGTCTTGGCAATTATTTTGAACTTATTAAAGTAAATGCAATTTTTTATGGTTTGATTCACATGAAAAATAGTTCTTTTCGGGAATTGATTGTATTTAAATTGAAGGAAAATTATGTATGGTTGATGAATGATGGTTAGAGATTGATTTTAGACTGAATATAATGCTTGGAAGAGGTTTTAAGGGGTGAACAAATTAGATTTTTGAAAACAGAGTGCTACAGAAGTTTACTGTCAAGAAAGTTCTGACAAAAGTCATGACTTTACGCTCACGACTTTGAGATTCCAGAGAAGGTCAAAGTCATGACTTTCATTTCAAGCTTAAATCCAAAGTCACGACTTTCATCTCCCCTAGACCATTTTTTTAAAAAAATTTGGATTTTCTTTTTTTAAAAAAATAATAATATATATAATATTAATAATATTTTTTTCTTTTTTGTCATTTTCTTTTCTTTGCCTTATGTGTTATGTTTTACAGTATTTAAAAATAATATATATATATATATATATATTTATATAGATATAATAATATTTTTTCTTCTTATCCTTCCATTCCAGTTCTGCAACTTGTTTAAAAAAAAAATTCTCCCTTACCTTTCCATTCCAGCGTCTGTAGCTGGTCTTATATAAAAAAAATAAAAAAATTTGGTTCAATATTTGAAAAGAATAAAAAAAAAACCCTTAGCTCTCCTCAATGTATCTCGCTTGAAACTCTATCTCTCATCTCCATCCACCGCCCTCTTTACTGTGAATCAAATCTGTAGCTCCCTATATCGCTGTTGGCCTATATCTGTGCCTTTACTTGCCTTCACCGTCACCTCCTTGCTTCATTCCACCAGCACCCATAGCGTACGAATCTCTTCTTGTTCTCTTCATCATTCTTCACCAGCAGTCACTATTTGCTTCTCATACACTGTGCAGTCGCGTCCCTTTCCTCCACCAACCATAATTTCCGTTCTAGCTCCTATCACAGTTTTTATTTCTTCACCTTTCGTCCCTGTTTCTCCTTCCCAAGCTTTAATCCTTGCTCCAGATCTGAATGCCAATGACCCTGAGTAGCTTAAATTCACTGTTCACCATTGTGCCATAGCTGT